TGACCACAAAATCCAAGTATTTCACTTGAGATTTTGTGAGATAAAGTTGGTGTGTGATATGATTCAATATTCTCTTATTGAAAGAGAACTAAACACCATTCAACCAGTGTTTGATATTCTAAGTGATATATTGTCCATGCACGTCTAGTGATATCATTGATAATTGTGATATTGATAAATATTCAGTGCAAATCTGGTGCTACATGTGATTGTACCATTTGCTTCGCACATTTTAGTTTTGTGAGACATTGTATTGCTGCTCCATGTCACAACAATTTATCTTCGATAATTTGGACCCACAAATGCACATATCAGTAAGATTTTCAATTTATGGCAATTGTGTATGCAGTGTAGAAATTAGAACTCCCAGCTACAAGATTAATGTCTTGTGAACCTTTTAGCTGTCTGACAAGACTCATGACTAGACATGTTCTCTGGACGGCAAAGAGTTGGCTTGTGTTGCAACTATTGTCCTTATTAAATGATTTTTTTTTTTTTTTAATGAAATTATTCAGTCATCTTTCCAACCTTGACATGACAATAAGAACTGCAAAGATGCTTTTTCTTATGCTGATTGCAAAATTAAGTTTGTAAAATAGTTTCCACTTGACAAGGTGGATTCTTTTGGAAGTCTATACAGCAGTTCCTTTTTATTCGTGTGGCCAAAATCTTTTTAAGCAATATTTTCCACTCAGGCCAAAATGGTTAGTGAACTCTGCTGTCAAGTGATTTGTTAAATCCAATGACATTTACTGTGGTATTAAACACATGCCAATTATATAGAATGCCATGTCTAAAGACAAGCCTCCAATTTCCTATCTTATCTAATTTTTGATATTTTCAACTGTGACTTAGTCTTGTAATTAAAATCCTATGAATCTTGATTTAATGGTGGAAGACAGACATTTGTATTTTTTTTGGCAAGGTCACCAACAGAAATTGAAAAATATTAGTTCTTTGTAAAGAAAACCTCATATTAATGCAGGCATTAATATGTCTATTCCTATTTGAGCAATCAAGCTTCTTTCTCTGTCATCAGATAACTAAAAAAATATTTTCAATTTTACATTAAAAGTCTATTATAATATACAGGAATGCTTTTTTTTTCAGTTAGTATTATTACATATATTAAGTATTTTCCATAAGGCAACAATAAACTTCATTGATAAGTTCAAAAAAAGATTGTTCAGATTCATCACATTTATAAAACAGTATATTACAAGGCATAAACTTTGTTTAGAAAGATAAAGTTTAACTGATTACTTAAAGAATTAATCTAAATACAATTATAGAAAATACCACATTTCCCAAGACTTTGTTGCCTTCCACCATAAAATCTTGATTTAGCATACACTTCCATGTGTAATTGCTTAGCAATTAGATAATGCCATATTGCTGGTTCCCCCCCTTTTGCAACCCCCTATTATCCTGTGTATTGGTTGGTTTATTCAGATACATTTGCTATATTTGAAATCTTTTCTCCAAAAACATTTTTGCTTTCCTTTTCTAAGTGGTATCTGAACTCAGCTGTGGGTGCGTCCGACCAAGCAGTTCATGTAGAACTTCACTTGCTGCTCCAAACTGTTTTTGTATCGTTTCATTGTATTCAATTATTTTTCTTCTTATATGACCTATGCTTTTGTCCTTGCTGCTTCAATAAACATATTGCTACTGAATTTTGTTCTGCCTTCTCATTAAAACAGAAGGACTAGACTATTAAAGTTTAATGTAATTCTATTTAATATATTAGATTACATTAGAATATCAGGACAGTACCTTTCTGCAGACAAGTCAACATTTCATTTCTTATTTTGTAAGAATTCATAAAAGAAAAGTTGAGTCCTCAGCTAAATAAGCAGAAACAAAATGTATGAATAGAAACACCAAGAAGATGCTTAAAGTTTTCTGTATGTTTATCTCACATGACCAACAAGTTCTTACAACTGAAAAATTGCAAAATTATAATGAATTGAGGTACCAATTTTCCAACTGAGAAAGGTCTGCTTTTTTAAAAAAAAAAAAAAAAAAAAAAAAAAAAAAAAAAAAAAAAAAAAAGTCTTTATGATGAACTCAATCACTGGTGATGGATCAACAGATTTTTTTTAATACTTGCTTACGGCTTAAGAAACCTGTGTATTAAAATACACCTAGTGTACTGATAGACTGATTGCAAATTTCTGCTTTAAAAGGTTTCTTTCAAGTTGTAGGAAAAGGGAATCTTGTTTTTCGGGCCACATGAAATATTGATTTATATGCAGAAAGATACAGTCCTAATATTAATTTCCACCATATATATATATATATATATATATATATATATATATATTCCACTATTATAAAGTATTAGTTCACTCTCATTCTATTTGGCAGGTGGGAGTGACAAAATGTAAAGCTCAAATTTTAGTATCAAACAGAAAAGATGCATTCAGAAGAATTTTTGTACTTTGAATAGAATCCCAAACCACAAAGAAAGTTTGAACCATTGAAATTATGCAGAATGAAATTTTTTTAATATTATAAACAAGATACCCTTTTTGTATAAATATCAATGAGGGAAGAAAAAAAAAAAGTACGAGCTAGAAATTCTGAAATAACCCAGCAATAGAAATTTAGGACTCAACTTTAATCTCCAATATGGATTCGAAACTTTGACAATGAATTTTAAAATTAATTGGCATAAAGTTCAATTTCTTTCATTTGCCTTGAGAGACTACAATTGTAGTCAAAGCAAAGGCCTAAATTAAATCCTCTAAATGAATATTGATTGAAATATTGAAGACAACGTGGCAGTTATTTCACTGTAAAGCACCAAACTCAAACAAAAAAGGTGTCTGCAAATCTCTGACAAAGAAAACGTCCAAGAAATAAATTGTTGCATATTAACCAGACTTAGGAGAGCAAGAGGAGCTTAATATAGCAGCTTTAACATCTAATAGTTTAAATTAACTAACAAACAAAAATAGTTACTAATAAATCAATTTGGATATTGAATATTAAATATCTAGAGTAGTTAAAATTATCTTAGTGTTATCAGATCAAGTTCAAAATTATGATTAAATAAGCTGATGTTCAGTCAGATTTTGATAAGTCAGGGAAATGTCAAGCTGAGAACTTTTCAGCATCCCTCACCCCCAAACAGTCCTCATATCTATAATGAGTTCCAAACAAAAGTTATCTGTATCTCATTGGAAGCTGCATTCCAAGATAAAATTTCTCTGGTTTTTTTGAGAGGAAATCAATAGAAAAGCCAAAAATAGTAATGGTTGAATTTCTTCATAAGTCACTGACATATGTTTGTGTTTTTTTTTGTTTTTTTTGGACAGAAAGCCAATCTATTTTTCAAATTCAAACAAGGACATTTTCAATAGTAATCAGTTTCTACTATTGAAAATGTTCTTGTTTGAATTATGTACTAAGAGTTACTGTAAAGTTCTCAACCTGACCAAGAAAAATTAAATTTTTTTTCCCCTCGGTCAGATTTTGCAAAGAACTCTTTAGTTCTATTTTACATTTACAATTTTTCAGTAATTTTTATCAAGTCATTTAGGTAAATTTGAAACCAACTAATTTAGTGTCCAAATTTTAGAAGAAAATTAGTGATTTTTTTTTTTTTTTTTTACAGCTAATCACATTTCTGAAATTTATGAGCAATACATAAAAATGCACAAAATTTGACTGAAATTAATGTTATGACATTTGTTAATTTATAACATCTGTGTCAGTGCAGAATGTGAATTTCAATAATAATAGCTTATTTATTCAGCACATATACTCTGAAAGTATAAAGTCATCTTTATAGAATTCCCAATGAGAACCTAACTATCAATGGTCAACAAGATTAAGATAATTTCTAGTATACTATGAATGAATGGTCAACTTACATTAGTTGAAAGACTTCATGAGATGGGGAAAGAAAAACTACCATTTTGATTTATGGTTTATTTGAGAGAATCCATATTGTTTAAGCAATATGCATTAATTAAGAACTTCAATTTTTCTTTAAACTAAAGAATTATAAAAAGAGAAGGGAAAGACTTAGCTAGTTTTATTAGCAATTATTTTTAAAAATTGATTCTAGTAAAATTTTTCATGAATAAACAAATTGTAAAAGAAAAACAATTGGATGCTTTAAACAAATTTGAAGTAAAAGAAGTGTGCAGGAAGAGTAGAAGTTGTTATCGTTAAGTTTGTACAATTTATTTCAAGGAATTGTTTTAAAGCATAAATTTAACATGGTTGTTAAAGAAGCAAGGCTTCATTCTGCCACCACCAGGGAGGGCAAGCTGGCAGTTGTGAGCTGGTAGTGCATTGTCTTGGCAAATGGAAAGATCCAGTTTTCAATCAAGTGGAATTGAGATTTTCTTGCTTTTTCTTTATTTTCAAGAGGAAATAGAAATAGGACGAAAAGGAAAATCTTGAGAAATAAAATGAATAACAACCAAAACCGAGAAAAAGGTGAAAGGAAAGACTGTAGAGAAGAAAAAAGAAAGAAAACCAAAAACAAAAAATAAATAAGAGATTAAAGAGTATGTCTGTGGAAAAAATTTTTTCTTCCTTATTCTTAAAGAACAAAAGTCCAAAGTCTGCAGAACAAGGAAAAAACACCTTCAAGTTAGGACTGAGCCTACCAAGCAGATTAAGATCCAGAGAAGTGAGGAGATGATTAAAAAAAAAAAAAAAAAAAAAAAATATATAATCTCAATCATCGGTCATTTATCAAAGTTAGCTGCTGCTCTCTTGTTTTATTTTCTTTCTTCCTCTGGAGACATGAGATTAAAAAAAAAAAAACAAAAAAAAAAAAAAACTCCCCACCCACAGAAGAAACTGCATGACAAATGGCAAAATGTTGCCTCTGCTACTGTTGCCAGGTTTGGACTGTCATTTTGGCATGGCAAAGTGTGGTTGGTGAGTGTCTGGCTAAGTCTGCACATGGACCACTTCTAATTACAAGAAGAAGGGGGAGCAGGAGGTCAAAGGGGAAACCTGGTTCTTGGGACTGTCTAAGACTGAGAACACTGGATCCTCTCAGACTCCTCTTCATCATCATCAGACACCAAGTCACTATCATCACTGGAGCTCAATCCATCATCACCATCTTGTCGAGCCTACAAGTAGGAGGGTAATGAATAAACAATCAAAAATGATGTAATTTCTTCTGAATTCTATTTATTAATAAACACCATCTAGAGGTTAACATGTATAGCCATTGCTCAGGCTACAAATGAAAACATTTTGTCTTGATTTTCTGCTGAGCAGAAAAAGTTACAGAAGAAAAAACAACTTCAGTGTTAGACATCTAGCTGAAAAATACCTAGCCTATTTTATACAGTTTAACAAAGAGAAAAATTTATTTTAACAAATTAAAGGTTCAGTTTAGCAATACATTTATATTACAAATTGAATCCCTTTACAAAAAACTAGTTTGGGAAATTTTCAAAAATTAATAACCACAGAAAATTAGGTGGTTATAACTGTAATGTCATTTAATCAAGTAAATAGATGGGGGAAAAATTTGGTGAATAAGACTGCTTTTTTTTCAGAAGAGAAAGAAAATAGGACAAGCAGAATCTTGCTTAATGCCCATTCAATGAGCACACTTACTCTTCTCCGCTGCAAATGCATTAAAAACCATAACATTTGGCCATCTATCATGTCTGGCTCCTGGACTCTTTCAATTTCACGCTGTTTTGTGTTCATTCTTGTGGTCTACAAGGAAAAAAAAAAAAAAAAAAAAAACAATTACTCATTACATATTACTTGATAAACAGTTTAACAATATTGTATTCTTACTTGACTTTTTATAGGGAGTAGATAGTCCCTTACTATTATTTTTACATTAAATGAAGGCAGAAAGTTGTATAAAGTAGCTACATAAAACATTTGTTTAAAAGTTGTTAAAATATAAAAATAATGAAAGACACAATTTCAAAACAAAAGAGGTTTAAAATTTAATTTATCTTACCTTCTTTAATCCTTTTAGTTTGGTGGGCTCTTCAGAGGTTGGAGCCCAAATTTTTACATCACTGTCCAAACCACTGGTGGCCAGGAATGGAGCTAATGGGTGGGGCTCCAAAACGTTAATCTAAAATAAAAGAAAATTTCAATTTAAGGATTATAACAATTAAACCCTTTAGGTAAAATCTTAAACATCAATATTTTTATTGGTTACATTTCCAACTAATAATCTACTCTGATCATTTTCCCCACAAAAGAAAAAAAAAAAAAAAAAAAGAAAAGCTAATTTCCATCATTTTCAACAGGATTTAATTCATAAAAAAAAAAAAAAAAAAAAAAAAAAAAAACATAAGACCCTTCCTACATAGTTTATTTAAAAAAAACAAAAAAAAACAAAAAAAAAACAACTTACTGACTGACAGTTGTATTCAGTTTGTTATTAAGAATTTTTTTGCATTTACATCTCACATCTTCAAGAAATATCCATTTTTTAAAATTAAGGTAAATCCAGTCATTCATGTACTTTACCTATATGTAATATGTAGAAATATGTATCTTCAAAACTTAAAGCAGGATAGTGGCTGGTTTACTACAAAGTTTTGGGTACTACACAGGCTGATCACAAAGTGAGAGAATGTTAATTTTACGTTTATATTTTGGGTAGTAAATTTTCATTTAGTTAACTGCAAAGAGATTCCAAATTCCCAAAGATCTTAAAAATAAAAACTGACAATGAATAAGATATCTTTTCATTTAGAAAACAGTATTTAGAATATTTCTAACAGAAATGCCATTTTGCTGTCAGCTTGAGTTCATTTTTTCTTGTGACAAATAACACCTGTTTTTTTTCATCTTGAACATAACCAAAGAATGTTAAAAGCTATTGACAATTTCTGTATTGTTCTGAATCAACTATTTCTTCCTTTGTAAGAAAGCAAGATATTACAAATTCTACAACATATCATGAAAGAATAAAAATTTTCATCTTGCAGTTATTTTAATTTAAACTTGCAAATATCATTTCTTCAGCTTGCACTACTTACCACACCACCTTCATCTCCTTTCATAAATTGGACGATAGACTCTGTTTCTTTGTCCCAGAGGAAGATGTGACCACAGTCACTACCACTGACTATGAATTCACTTTTGGGGCCATAAAAATTAACACCTTTTACTGGAGAACAAAAAGAAAAAAAACAAGTTATTAATAAACTAAAGAGAAAAATAAAAAATGCAGAAACAATATGAATTTATTTATTTTAACATTGGCAGGAAAAAAAAAAAGAGAACACTTTGTCTCAGCAAATCTTAAGATCAAAATTAAATTGGCCTTAGACCAGACAAATCTGTTAAATAAATGGACAAAAAGCTCAATAAAGTCATATACAGTATTGTTTAAGTAACATCTAAAATAGTAGAATATTTTTCATGGTAAATCTTAAAGAGTTAACATTTATCTTTTGTTAATTAGATGTTCAGATCTTACAGTTTATTTAAAACATGTAAAAATTTATTTGCATATCAATAATTAACTGGTAATTTAATTGTAGTTGGCTTGGTATGCACATTACATTATCAACTATCTAGAATATACAAATCATCTTTAACAAATTTCTAAGTAAAAATTTCTAAGTAAAAATTTGTAAAAACTCAAATTACTTTTACATAGCTGCAGTCTTGCTATTTTTCCTCAAGCATTCCCAACATAGTTTATTTAAAAGTCATACCTGTGGCATTGTTACGGTGTCCTTGGTAACGGTGGATATAGTCTGCCTCATCTGAGTGCAAATTGTTGAAAAGATAAATATCCTCATCATTGTATGTACCCAGAACTTCTGCAAGACAATAATTGTGTTGGTCATAAGTTTACTTTCTCTTACCAGTTCAAACAGAAAAAAAAAAAAAAAAAAAAAATTTTTTATGAATTCTTTAATGCAAGTAAAAGATCTGCAATTTTTTTTTCTTTCATGCCTATGACTTAGAGATTGCTTATCTAGCTGTTCAAACATGTAAAATCCTTTCAGTTCAAGCAGAAGGAAATTTATTTTTAAAAACTATTATGTCAGACAGTAAACATTGCAGACAAAAAGCAATTTCTATTAACAGCTCTTGAATTAAACTTTCCCCTCAGTGTTGTCACAGTAGCAGATTTTCAAGTTACCTAAGCATTTGTAAATTACAGAGTTTGGACTACATTGGTTATATTTGAAGTGATTCAAAATCCACACTCAGAATTGTTCTTGTATTTCAGTATTGTTAAACAATAGTAAATATTATATTAATAGGATATGACTCTCCATTTGAGATGGCAACATAAGATTCATTTGTTTTAGTTGTATAGACCTGTGACATGGGATCTCCAGGAGTTGATCAAACAAAAAAAAATGGAAGGAAGGAAGAGGAAAGCATCTACAAACTGGATGATAATTGTTGAAATTCACAAGATAGATTGAAAAGTTAAGGAGAAAATTAAAGACAAAATGCGTTGAAAAAATCCTGTTCCAAAATAATTCTAAGGAGAATCAAACCCAAATTTAACTAGACAGAATTCAGTAAGATTGAACAAAACCAAGACTACCCATCGTTCCCCACTTCCTGACGATGAGAAAGGGACCATTAATGTAACAAAAAAGATGCCAATAAAAAAAATGTATGTTGTCAATAAAGAAATCCAGGTGGTCACATTTAAAAGATCACTCTGAACAAAAAGGCCAGGAAGAAGACATGTGATTTGAATCAGCCACCCAGAAAAGAAGTGCCCCCACAGAGATAGAGGCCAGTCTGAAGCATTTGTTCATTATAATTTCTATGACATTTGTCAAAAAAAATTTTATATCCAGCATTAATTTACTTTGGTTTGTTTTATGGCATATTAACCTCAATGGGTTATTTAATGCCAACAATTTTTATTGCTGGCAATGATTTTTTTTTAACAAAGTATTTCTGGTATTAAAACCTATTTCTACACTTTCATAGTGTTTTGACCCCAGTTTAGGTATTAACTATTTGACCATAGCTGGAACCCTAACTGGTGCTACCACCCTGGGCGAGGGTGTTCCTCGTGCCCATCATCACAATACCAGTGACACACAAGCAACGAATTAATGAGTGAGGAGTCAGCTAGATGGTAACAACAGTGGTCTGAAGAAACTTGAAGACCAATGCAGGACTTGTGGGAGTGACATTATTGGTTGCAATTGACAAAGATCCACATGTGGGGTGACAATATTGGTTGCTGTTGACCAGGATTGAGATGTGGGGTGACAGACCATTTTGGAATCTTAGAGTTGACAATTATGCTGATTTAATAAACATGCTAACAGAATTGGATGTCAGATGTCACTTAAAAAGGCATCATTTTTGTTTTCCTTTTTCTTAATGGATCTGAGTACCATAAACAATGGACACCTTGAAAAGTTCCACCCAAATACATCTCAAAGGGAATTGAGGTATCAAAGTCAGTCAGTTCAACACAAAATAGATGGCTGACCAGTTCATTTCCACAACAGCTCAATACACAAGTACAAGAGCAAGTAACTCAAATATTCCTGATTTTTTTTTTTTTAACATTTATTAGGTTATTTCACATGTAAATTTTTCCTTCAATATAAATGTACTCTTAATATAACATTTACCTTGAACAAATATGCTAAGCAAATATCTCAAGAAACTCACATGCTAGGATAATTCTGAGAAAGGGTTCAGAACCAGTATACTTGATTTAGCAAGGTGCAATATGATTTATCTGGTTAGCAGACAAAGCATTTTTTGTTGCCCAGTGTCATCACTTTGTGATGTCTCAGAGGCTTATTGTCTTTATTGTCAAAAACAAAAAGGTCTCAGTATAATTTCCTCCTAAATGGATTCCAGAGTTTCACATTTCTTGAGATTCATGAAGAAGATATGATTATTCTTTGGATTTCCATCCTGCTGTGCAACAATAGCTTGAGGGCTAGAATCTCTGACTGATGTCAAATCGGTCAGGTTTCAATCCAGGCCTGAAGCAATCCAGTGTCTACCCACACTGATGAGCTGTGATACAGCAAAACAGTCTGTCTGTGGATGACACGTGTGTGTGTGTGTGTGTGTGTGTGTGTGTGTGTGAGACAGAAAGAGAAAGGTAAAATCTTCAACATAAGAATATAGCAAAAGCAGCAACATTTTTTCACAATATTTTTCAAACTCATAAGGGACAATGACTTTTCCTGTGTTTCTTTGTCCATAAATTCTGCACCAATCCAAATGTCTAATCTGGGGGTAAAAAGGCAAGTGACATATCCATTATGGCAGAATTCTGCAGCTTCAACACCACAGTAAAATTAATTTGCAAATAAGTTAGGCAGAGTGCACAGATACTACTCTGATCTTTGGTAGAGCAAACGGATTGACCAGAGGCTTATCCATATTTCAATATTGGACTTTTAAGGTTATTATGCTAGCTGTTTAATAATTTCCAGGAAATGTCATGTTATAACTATTACATTTCACTCTTTGAGGGTACAGCTCCTGAGCAGAATTCTGAAAGTTACAACCTTAATCTTGGTTGATAAGGCTCATCATACTCACACCCAAATTAAGATAAAAAGCCTTTTTTCTAACAATTTAAATTAAGTTTGCATTTGAGAAATTAGTAAATTGTAAACTGAAAATAATCGTAGTGTTGATAATGGTAAGATAAAATTAATACATATTTATTATTCAAAGTTCTGTACATAAAAAAAAAAGCAACAAAACAAAAAAAAAAAGCAACAAAACAAAAAAAAAAGTTTTTTTAAAGATATCAAAAAAGCTAACATGAAACAAAAGAAATAAAAAACATTATTTTAGCATCCTGTACTCATTACTTATTGACATATTTTGTTGTTACGATAACGCGAAACATGGTTGATATTGAGTAATACCTCATTTTACCCTAAGAGAAAATCTCAGTAAATAAGGGAAGTCAAGCTGCATGGCTGATAAACAGTCACAATGTTTCATATGATAAAAATGATTATCTAATACAAAAAGTAAAACTCACTTCTTTGTAAAGTGGGAGAGGACAGATTCTCTGTATGAAGATTTTCCTTGAGTAAAGAGAATCTGTAATAAAATGTGACTTACCTGTTCCATTGTAGTTGTAGCAGGCACATGTAACATTGGCTTTTATGCTACTGTCAATCTAAAAAAGACAAGACAGTCATCATAAAAGGATAAAAAATTGTCCATAAAAAAAAAAAAAAAAAAAAAAAAAATAGGGCTGCTGAAAAGGACCAATTTGGTCCTGAAATAATAGATTTTTGAGAGCAGAGAAATTCAAACCAAGAACTTTTTCACCACATGTGTGTGTATCTATAAAACTGCTTGAAAAATAATTAGAAATGCAGAAAAAAAATCAGTGGAAAGAGCAATAGTAGGGGTAATGAAAAAAAGAGGTGGGGATCAATATGGATAAAAAAATTAGACCAAATTAAGGATTATCAGAAATGATTAAGTGACAAAAATGGAGGTGATGTAAAGAAAGAAGCAAGAAGGAAAATAGATGGAGCAAAAGGTTGGATTGCAAATGCAGTAAGAAAATCACCAGAAATAAGACATGAGATCAAAGGGTTTGCTGGTTAAGACATGGTAGAGAAGAGCAGAGTCAGTCATCATGGAAGGTGTTTGGAAAGGCTTTTGCTCAGCAGTGGGCTTGCATTATGTAGATATTGAAGAGAATACTATTATTCCCCCAATATAAGGCCCAAGAGCTACTCAAGAAGGTTATTGAATGAGATTGTTCTTGGTGTAAGGAAAGAGATGCATATTATGGCAATTTGTAAGATTGCTAACATTTGACCTTAGACTTATTGCAGTGGCCAGAGAAGCATGCCTTTGGGAGTCTGTACCACAAATGACAGTTCTGGGAGAAGTTGTTTGAGTGAAACTCCATCCTTACCAAAGGAATAGAAAGGAAATGAGAAGTGTATATGTCTGGACATGTCCTAGCTGTTAAGGTCTGAACTAGTGGAAATGTAGCTTGTCTGAACATTTACCATAGCAATAGAGTAGCAAGAGGCTAGCAACATTTTGTCTGTGGAGAAAGGAATTGAAAAAAGTGGAAAATAATTCATCACCCACAAGGCCTTGTAACCACTTGAATTGTGTCAAGGCTGAAAAGAGGACTGGGTAGCACCAGCCCAGACATGGCAGCAATACTCCATTTTGAGTTTGATCAACCTCTTGTAAAGATAAAACATGGCAGTCAGTCATGTGCTTTCTGGAGTGGTACAAGGAACTGACCATTCTTGCTAATATACATAGATTATGGGACATTTATTCATAAAGAAAAAAATGATACATATCAATTGTATTAATGTACGAAAACTAGATCTCTAATAAATATTCATTTAGTCAGGTACAAAATAGCAATTAGATAATATCTAATTTGCAACACCATATTATATACATGTTAATTATATGAAGTTCATGGAGAGATATTTTTAGTAGTCAACAACAAATATACATACATATATTCAAAATCAGTCATAAAGAATTGATGATGTCAAGTTACTTACCAAATGATGAGGGCAGAACTTTTTGAGAACTCCACCACTGATATTCTGTTAGTAGAAAATATGAAAAATATCACAAATAACTAATGAGATACATTAATTTCATTTACTTCCATAAAATGGATTACTAATATCAAAGTTAAATGATATATTTAGTGTGAAGGAATGGAAATATTAAAATGCAAACAAAATCTTTAACTAAATACAAAAATTGAACTACACATTTCTTCAGTTTTAAGTTATGAAATTCTTTTTTTTTTTTTTTTTTTTTTAAATCCTAAAATAGCACAAATTGATTTCACATAAGATTGTCGTTAATTATCCACAGAAAAATAAGAAACTACATTTTATGTTCGATATGTTAATAGAAAATAGTTATGAAAGATTAAGGGGAAGAACACATACAACTAATTTTTTTCAGATTCAAAAAGTACTATACAAAAAGCTGATATTTCAAGTTTAAATTTTGCAAAAAATTACGTTAGTTGAAAGCTTCTAGAAGGGAAGGCTTAATTAATGCTAAGAATTAATTAGTCAGGTAGAGACAGTCACTGTTAATATGCACGTCCAAGACCACGTGTATAAATGGTTGAGTTTAGTAAAATAAAGAGCAAGTTAAATAAAGAAAGATTTATTACCTCTGCAATCTTCCTCTTGTCATAAATCCTGAAAAGGCAATTAAAAAAAAAAAAAAATTAGAATGAAGCAATATTTAAGAATCAGATATGTTTGTACACTATTTACATTATTCGGACTATTGTCCTCATCCTTGTCGCCATATTAATTACAACATTTCAGCCGTTGTACACTCCGGCCTTCTTCAGGTGGTTGGAATGTCGAACTGAACCCTAAATAGTGTACATAATACCTCATCTCAGAAATATAGACATATGTTTGTATAGATATTTTCAATAGACAGAACAAACTTAAAATAAATTTCCCTTTTCATGACACAAAGAATGTAGTTAGACCAAACTAATCTAAGAAGCAATTTAATTAGTACAATAATAATTTTATTATTTCAATACTTCAGCTGCTACACCTTGCAGCTTACTTAAAAAAAGATTCATTTAAAATTCAGTTTTCACTGCTTTCTGCTGCATCAAGCACCTCTGAAAAATGTAAGTTATCACTTATTTCTCATATCACTTCTTGTTGTCCTATACCATTTTGCGCCAAGATTCAACTTCAAAGGAATTAATTTATTAGTATTTTATCCAAGAGAACATGATGATTTTTCCTCTTTTCATGAAAAAGATTTCCATATAGTATTCATTTCTAGGCTTGTCTTACTAACTGAATCTAAGCATGAGTATTCCTTTTCTCAATTGCCTTATTACCAATCTTCCATTTTGAGCTTCAGATTGACTTTTTGATGTTTCTTATACTAGTTTACCCAATGATAAGCAACCTGATTGAAATTTTAACATTATGTTTTGAGAAAATGCAACAACAAAAACAAACCAAACTAAGCCTCCAACGGAATTCCGACATGGCTTTGAGAAAAATTGTTACTACTTTAGTCACAGCAAGAATGCATGTAGGTATTGCTGTAGGATATAAACAAAAGTAGAATCCTAAGGACAAATTGACAGTTATATGTTCAGAAATCATTATGAGGTATACCAAGTTTGATAGAAAGCAAGAACAATATGCCCACTAGATAATAAAGGATTTTTGTGAAAAAATTCTTTGAAGACTACTGAACATCATAGATGCTCAAGATAAATCAAGGAGTATAGTAGTTGAAAAAATACTCGAGAATTCAACCAGAAAGTAACAGCACTTATAGTACGTAAATGTATATGTGGGTGATGGATCTAATAAATATATGCAATAATAATAATAAAAAGAGAGAGGAAAGAGTAAACTGGATTTGAACAACTGTAAAAACTATTGTGTGTGTGTATATATATATATATATATATATATATATATATACATACATACATACATACACAGAATAACAAAATCTAATATAATAATATAATCAGATTTATTCAGCCTTTTACAGAAAGCTGCTTTTGTGTGAATACATATACACACAAGCAGTTTTCTGTAAAAGCCTGAATAAATCTGATTATATGCTTCAATAAATTCTTGTATAACTGGTTGATGAAAAAGATCAAACTTAATTGATAACAGTAAAACAACAGAATAGAATATAACAAAAAGGAAAACTTGCCTGAGGTAATGGTCTCTGCCACCAACACAAAACTCAAAAGAATTGACAGGGTTGGAGTGGATGGAATAAAGAGGCACTTTCTTGTCATTTTCTTTGGTTGCCACTAATCTGAAATTGACAAATTAATTACAATGGTAAAAACAAGAAATTAATGTCATTAATAAACATATGCAAGCAACATTTAGATATGAATAGCAAACAATGCTCCCATTGGTTACGGGTAGGGCTATCTCTTAATTTTGTGAACAAGGCAGATGAAAATAGGCTTGCATATATGTTCTGAATACATTTAGTATAAAGTAGGCATTGTTAGTGAGATACAAATAAGAAGATTCCTTTTTGTTATTCTCTATGTCCCGGTAATGCTTAGGACGAAAATAATATTCACAAATTTAAGTGCTAATTCAAATCTACCAAGCACAACAGAATAACAAAAATAAACTACTGCTGCTGCCATAAATTTTCCTGATTAAATTGTACAGTTTATGAGCACGGTTTTTCTTGCATGATAATAATTTTTGCAGATAACAGATTGAATATATTAATAAAAGTTAAAAATAAGAAGTTGGGCACAAGGCTGGAAAAATGGTTAAAAAGGCTGCATGAGCTAACAAATTAAAAGAAAAAAGAAAAAAAAAAGAAAAAAAAAAGAAGTTATGTTAATATTTTGAAAAAAATGGAGGAATGATATTTCCACAATATTCAAGATCTAAAAATGACAGTCACTCTAAATTAAGAAAATGGATTTATGTTAAGTTTTAATTTTTATCTCAACTTACTTGTTGGGCTTTTCTTGTCTAAGATCAATCTCAAAAGTCATTGCATCTTCCCCACAACTGAGAAAAACATGTGGAGAATCCAGCTCCAAAGCCAACTGCCAAGAGATTTGAATAAAAATGAAAGAAATAATTTAACACAAGCAAATTAAAAAAAAAAAAAAAAAAGTTATGCATGGGGAAAATTTTCAATGATAAAGAAACAATCTCAATTAACCATCAGACATTATCTAAACAATGTCTTGACAAGTAAATGTTTTACCATCCAGTTTTTGTGACAGAACAGTAAATTTTTAAGATTATATGTACCAATATAATTAAACATTAATAAATAATAAATTAATAATTTGTACTCTAGTCAAATTTAAGTTTCAAATGGTCAAAGAGAAATTGGTATTACATCCTATTTTGGCACAATTAGACAAGGTGGTAACAAAGAATAAAATTTATACTTTAAAATGTTCAAGTAAAGGAAAATACAGGCATGAATACCCCCTCCCACTCCAGTAAATTGGTGATAAATGGAGAACATGGCCAACTACACCTCAGTCACAAACTATTTTTTTCTTTTTTTATTACAGTGAAATTATTGGTTTCTTTCTATTATCTTTCACAAAATGGGTGCTGCTGCTATTATTGTTATTATTTACCTTGTGTGCTGCTCCTTTGTGCTGTGCCAGTTTTTTTGTACCTTTACAGACGCCAGTGAGAGAAAGTTCAGCCAAACGTACTTGGCCATCACGGGCACAACTAACCACATGGCAGTCACCACTAAATGGCATGAATTTGGCCTGTGAAAATAAACAAATATTAGTTTAAAAAGACAGGCAATAATATCAGTGGGAAACATACTTTTCTAACACTTTATTACAATTTTAGTATAAATTGATTAAAAAAAAAAAAAAAAAATGGGGGGGGGTCAGAAGAGCTCATAATTAATGGCAAAAACTGTGCAATGATTTTAAATAGAAGACAATAGTTAATTTCAGCAGTTAGACAAATATACAGAAGAAAATCTGCACCTATTCCAGGTAAAAAATCTGTCATCACTGTGATATACTTTAACAGAGCTGACACTGCACAAAACTATATTTATAATTATAGATTCAGTGTGTGTAAACCTGAATAAAATAATGAAGTGAAAAGATTAAAAGAAAGAGGGAGAGATGCTTATTTCTGAAATTAAAATTACATACAGATTTAAGAATTACTTCCCGATTTGGTTCTCTCTCTCTCTCTCTCTCTCTGTTTTAACTAGGATTTCTTTAATATATTATTTTTAGATATTTGATTATTTCATCATTACAAGGATTTAAAGCAGCATTAGAAGTTTGTAATGTTGACATTTAATTTTAGAGATAAATTTGTAAAGAAAATGTGCTCATCTACTCCATTTAACAAGGCACTAGCTACAATATGTTTAAAAGTAAATCCTGATTCTTTTGAAAGTTTTCTTGTTCAAATTAAAAATTGACAAACCGCGTTAAATAATTTTCCATAAGGATTTCAAAGTTTCTCAAAATGTAAAAGGGGGACAACTTTTCATTCTTTACTCATGATCAACTGTGTGTAAAAGTTTTTAATTTTCAAATGACAAAACAATGTTGTTTTACCACTACCATTTAGTGTTCACAATTATAGTGAAAGAAGTAACAAAAAATTGATGCAAGTTTTGAAGTTTACATACCTATAGATTAAAATAGTTTCTCATTCATTTTTATTAAATAATGAAAAATTATGAGTGTTTATGAGCTGTACCAAAGAATTGTGGTAAATATCATTAGGGAGGTTCAGATAAAAAAAAAAAAAAAAAAAAAATCACGATTCCAAGGGTCAAAAATCAGCCTCACAAGTCCAACATTAGAAAATACTGGGGGTGTAAATCAAAAGTGTAAAAACTTCACATAAGACATCTTCACCCAAGAACAGCTAAGCTGTCTTGTGATTCAAAGTAGAGTTCTTTTATTGGGTGGGGTAAGAAAATTTGTAAGGAAGCAAAGATCAATTACCATTACTGGATTCAGATTTTCTTTTTCAACAGATAGCAAAGAGAATACAAATTCTTTTTCAAGATAATACTTGATTTTCTCTGTTGCCACAAGAATAGGTCAGATTATTATGAAATTTATCAAGTCCATGAGGTCATTAGGAAAAAAAAAAAAAAAAGTTAAATTAATATTATATATCACATGATCATAGAGTACATACTATTATGTAATCAAATATTTCAATATTTTTAATCTAAATAAATCCTATTGGGGTTGTTTTAATATTCTGATAAATTCTGCTCGCGTTGAACAAGGGAGATAACTGTAGTAAGTTTAAAAAATATTTCAATATTGAAAAATAGGAAATGATTCATTGATTCAACAAGTTTCACTATTTACAAAGAATAGAAATTAATCTTTTAATAAAGTATATATAGTGCTGACTATAAGAACTTTCTTTCTGCATATCTTAAAAATGAAAAATATGTGCTAAAGTCAAGAATGTAAAACATCAACAACTGCTATTTTATTTCAATAAGTATGAAATATTGAAAGCCAAGAATAATTCTAGTTTAGTAAGAATTATTGAATTCAAACTATCATACATGTATAAACATACACAAAAGTGACTTAAATAGATGTCAAAAATATTAATTAATAAAATAAAAAAATGTTGCTGTAAACCAACATATATATATATATAAAAATAATAGCTGTCAAAATATACTCAAGAAAAGACAGAAAACTTGCAATCTTTGCCTGTTGAAACTAGCTGAATTTCAACTATATTTAACTTATACATGTTAAATAATGGATTCATTATACAAAAGATTAGTGGTTACCTACCTGGAAGATGTTGCTACGGTGACCACTGTCAAATACAAGAGCAGGACGACTACGCACCCAATTCCATAATACTATATTTAAATCATCTGAACCACTAGCCAAAAGAGTACCTGGAAAATGATATATAAAGAAAGTCATTTTAAAATAGACCATTTTGTGAAGTATTTTACATGTTCAGATAAAAGACAATTTGGAACAGTGTATGAATCCTTTGCCACAAAATTTGTGAAAATATTTCTTAATACTAAATACTTCTTTCAGAAAAAAGAAAAAAAAAAATTATATATAATCTCCACACACACACACGAAAATATAGTGTTAGTCCCTTATAAAAAAAAATAAAAATTGCTTCTGTATGTGCTTTTAGGATATACTAAGGCAATTTTCATTCAGGATATATAAAAAAAATTTGTCATATGGCAAAGCATCTAAATTAAGAAAGCTAAAAATAGATTTTAGTGTTGACAAGCAGCAAAATTTAACATGTGCTAGAATTTCTGTAAATATTTACTGATTTCCTTCAAAATACTTAATATTCATAAGGGTCACTTAAGTATATGTGAATGATATCTTGTAAAAAAACAAAAAAAGAAAAGAAAAGAAAAAAAATTGTCAATATCAAAAATAATTTTAAGAGAAACTCTTTAGGAACACAAGGTCATCTTCCTTCATAAACTTTAACATTTCTTCCAAGTCAATCTCTGTTACTTCACAAAGTAAATATCTTAAACTATTTCAGGCCATTAATCAATTAAAAGGTTTTTAATTACATGATGATGATGAAAAGTTTGGTGAATATGAACAATATGTAATAAATGAAAATCATACACAAGTGCTGCTATCTTTGTGAGCCAGTGCAAACAAAGGTGTTAAGTAATATTTTTTTTTATGGTTAAATTCCCTAAATTTTCAGGTAGCATCTCATTTTAAAGAGCAAAATAAAATCAATATTAATTATACTAAATAAAATAAACAATGAAAAAGAATTAGAATTATTTGAAAACACAAATTAAAATGTTTGTTTGTGTTTTATGGCATATCAACCTCGTTGGGTTATTTAATGCCAATAATAGATATCCAGGCTTTGATAACTAGATAGATAGCTTATCATTCATACTTTGATATAAAGATATATATGTTGATATTTACACCTTGACAATCAGATAGATAGCTTGATAATCACACTTCGACATATAGATAGATATTCTGATATTCCTGTCTTAAAGGCTCTTGCAAGTACTTTAGCAGAGCTTAATTGTGGTGTTGGGTTAAGTTATGAAAAGGAAAAAAAAAAATTTTTTTTTTTTTTTTAAATTTTGTTATGGATGCTGATCTTGTTGGTGTCTGTCTCTTCAAAGACTCAAGTCACTTTTACAGCTGCTACCTGTAAATTTGTTTTTAAGACAATAAGACTTTGTGGTATGTCATTTCTGATTAGAATAGATGTACCCACTGATACTCAAAGACTAGAGTTTTTAATATAATTATATTGTTGGTAGTCTTTTATATTTATCTTGTTATTCTTTAAGAAGGTTTCCTGAACACATGGGTTTAGGTCTGTAATTAGTAACAGCAGTTCATTTATATTTGCCTTCACTCCTCTGCAGTTCCATTGTAGAATTTTGTGTGATCTTGAGTTCATTATGTTATTTTGTTTTTTTTTTAATGATATATCCATCTCTTCTAGGGATGGTGTGGTATTCTCAGTTGTCATGTTTCTAGGGTTTTTGTTTTGCTTCTTTTTTTTTGGGGGGGGGGTGTTTGGCTTTTTGATCTGTTCTTGGAAGTTGATCGTTGGCTCAGCTGACTTTTCTTATGAGTTTGTGTCTTTTTAAGTCACATTTTTCAATGGCATGTTCTATTGGAGAGAGTTAAGTTGTGGTCGTGTTTGCTGATTGTTCTTGTTCTATTTTGTTGAGAAGTAAAAATCTGTTTTGAGTTTTTAGGTTGTTTGTTGTAGATTCTCTGTCTTGGTTTTGCAGGTCTATTTGGCTTCTGCTGAGGCTTTTGGTTTCCTCTTTTTGTTTTGTGGTATTTGATGTGGAGTGTTCAGTTGTTTTTTGGTTATTTTTAGCTGTTGTCATCATTTCAGGTTTGAGTATTATTGTTAGTTCAGCAAGTAGAATTCTCAGGTTATCTATTAAGGTTGAGATTTCTTCAGATTTGTAGTTAGTTTTTTCTGTTTCTTTTTTGGATATTCAGGATGTTTATTTTCTGAGGTCAGCATAGAGGCATATGTTATTGTGGGTGTCTGAGTTTTAACAATTTTTCTTGCTTTAAAGAAAGAGATATTTTGTGAATATTTTGTTGATTTCCTTTTCTTTCTGCCATACTTTACATTCTCTTGAGCCTGCAGTGTGCTCCTCTTTGCAGTTTGGACACCTAGGTCTTTCACTGCATTCTTCAGGATGTTCAGTCTCTGTATTTCCACATCTTCTACACACTGGATCTCTAGCACAAGTTTCTTTGTGGTGTCCATATCTTTGCCATCAGTAACACCTAAGTGGCATTGGTATGTAGGTCTCCACTTTTGCTATTGAATATCCAATTTTTATGTCCCTGGATCTTACAGGGAAGTTAAAGGTTAATATATATGCGTTGCTTTCAATAAGTGTACCATTTTTTTTAATGGTATACTTATGTTATTTTTTGACATCTTTTACTTGTTGGTTTTTTAGGTTTGTTTTTATCTCTTCCAGGGTGCATAGTGAGAGTTCATGGCTTCTCACTACTCCTTTGGGTGAATTTAGGGTTTTGTATAGGTATGTTTTGATTTTTTATCTTGTCAAACGTTGTCCAGTTTAATATTTTTTTTGCATGTGTATTTTTGGATACTTCGATTAATATTGTTCCATTCTTCATTTTTTTCACAGATTCTGGTTTTTGGATGTCGGTTGAGATGATTTTCGCTATTTTAAAAGGAGACATTTTGGTAAGAGGAGTATTTTCAATAGATTCTAATACTATGAATTGATGATGTGTTCATGCTCTGACTCGTTGTCTGAGCTTGATTTGATATGGGGTCTTTTTGTTGTTTTTTTTTTTTTTTTGTTGCCATGTGGGTTTGTTTTTATCTTTATCTCTTTTGCTCCCCACCCTCCTCAAAGCCGGGCAGTGGGAGATATTGGGGGGGGGGGCATTCGCCCTATTTTCTCAGGGTTACAAAAGAGGTAGCCTCATATTATTAGTATTTTTGTCAGCATTTCCGGCATTTTTATTTTCTTACTCCTGTTTTTATGAAAACTTTTATTTACTCCTTCATGTGGCTGATTTTTACATACTAATTGATTGACCCTTGCCACCGCCTTCTGACACTTATTTAGGGAATATCACATTGTTTTGAAATAGAGTTTGAAAGATATTTATTTTGTGAGGATAGGTGTTAGGGCTTGATGTGACTAGCCGATTGGTCAGATCGGGCCTCTCCGACCTCCCATCTAGCCCAAGTAAAGGTCAAAGTGGTGTGTTTGCAGGGTCATGACAAATTTTCACCTGGGTCATGACCTGCTCAACCACCAGGATCCCATCCCCAAGTGTCACAGGTTGCCACCCATGGCCAACAGGTGGCCCTGTTGAGGGACTTTTACCCTCTGCAGGGGTGCAGTCAACATATTCTGAAGCCCCGCTGACAGGGCGGAAATTAAAATGGAGATTAATGTTTGGGTTTGATATGAATATAAATCAGTATTTTTTTTTTTAAATTACTTTACACTGCTTGCTAGTTGCCATTAAAAACAGAATATATATAATACAAAGAAGTTTTCACCTTTCCAACATATGAAACACAAACAATATAAGATTTCATTTTATTTAGTTAGGGTCACAAATATTTTCAAGTTTTTTTTTTAAAATTTACTTTACACTAAGGTAAGTACCTCGACAGATTTGCTAAAAAAAAATGACTATACCATGAGAAAAATGCTCCAAACTTAAAAACAAAATATCAAAATCTTCATGTCATTAAGAGAAAATACGAAAGGACTTTGATTATTAAATATTTTCTGATCCTTTTCAGAGCATTCAAAATTTTGGTTAAAATTTTTGTTTTTCTTGCATCAACAGAAAAGACCAAAGATTGGTATAGAAAATTTTAGCATTTTTTTTGGTGGTGAAAAATACACCGATTTGAAGATTCTTGCAAAAAATCAAATAATTGTCGGATTTTAAATGAAACTTTCAGAACTCCTTCACAAATGAATTTTAATTATTTTAGAATTGTTTTTACAGAAAGGTTAACCCCATACAAGGCCAGGGGGCCCACTTGAAAGAGGGTTACAGAGTAGGAGGCACAATTTATGCAGGTAGGAGGGGAAGACAACCATTCACTCTAGACTTGAACAGGTTAAGATTACAGATTCTCTTGGGAGTTGTATTCACAAAGCAGTGATTCATGGGAAGAAGAACTTCTTACCAATGGCATACAGAGGGAATGAGGGTAGTTTCCTACACAATATAAGTGGCATGGTAGGTCCTAGCCATTAAGGTTAGAACTGTAGAACCAAGGGATGCAGTTCATTCGAGCACTTTCCATGGAAGTAGTGATTGAGCAGTGAGAGGCTTGCCACATCCCGTCTGCATCTTTAGCGAGGGATAATATGTAGGAGTTCCATTTGAGGTCTGGGGTGAGTTTAAAGGCCCATTAGTTGCTCAAGACAGTGCCTTCCTGAGTGAACATGCATTCATCATGACTGGTTGTAGTTTTGGATCTGATTGGTGATGATGGAATGTAACTAGTTTGGTTTTCAAGACACTGAATGTACACAAGCCAATTCTCCACACCTCACTGAGATGTTAGCTAGGCTGTATGAGAAATCAGCTGCCAGTCTCTGGTCATCATGTGTTTTGGAGGTGCACCCATATAGTTGTATTATTGTCATAGACATTCACAAATGATCTGAGCAGATCATTCATGTAAAGTAAAAAGTATGTTGGTCTGAGAAGTGAGCCCTGGTGGACGCCTGCATTGATTGTTGTGCTCCAGAGGACTGGCCATTAACAATTACCTTCAGGACTTTATTATTAATAAAACTCTTCCAGTGATTCCATAGCTAGAGAGCTTGAGCAGCAATCCTTTGTGTCACACCTAGTCAAAGGCCTTCGAAATATCTAA